GGGCATTACGCGATGCCAAATGCTTCACTCTGCATTGAAAGAGAACATTTCTACCTAGAGATATGTGTGTGTGTGTGTGAAGCAAAGCGTGTAGTTGTTCGCCTATCTGAATCGATCAACAGATCGTGTTTTGAGTATAGAGATAAGTATAGGTACACGTATTAGTTAAGCCAGTGCCTGGTGAGCGAGAGTGCTACTGCCATGTCTCAGTGGCAATACTAAACGTAAAGCAAGTTCAATTTCTCCCTCACTTCATATATATGTATATATATATATAGGTGTATATAGCACTAGACTTGATTCATATTCATAGATTTTGTTTTTCATTAGTTGGAAACCGAATAAAGTTGAGGTGCTCATTGAGTTGGTTGAGTAAGCCTTTTACAAATACTCATAGATGCCATTCCAGTTTTTCTTTTCTTTTCTTATTAATTTTGTTTTTAATCCTTCTCAAAATGAAATCATTCGAAAGTATCAAGAAAAAAAGTGAAATGAATATTGAAAATAATAATTTTTCAATTGATTTACTCACTATATATATATGTATATAGATAGGATTTTAGAAATAGTAGTTTCATAAACGTTTGCTGCTCTTGGTTTCACTATTGTCAAAATGATATTTATAGTTCATATTATATCGGGCGATTGTCTATACATACTCGTAATATGTATATGAAAGTTACTTCATAAGTTGTTCGAGAAAGAAGTGAGGATAACTAAACTGAAAACTGAACTCAATTTCCAGAGTTTCTAGGGCCAATTTTTGGTTTTACTTCAACTACAAATTCGATCTCTGGCCTTTTCTTGAATTTTCTTGTTGCTTCTGAATACTTTAAGTGAGTGTGTGAGTGTTTATTTTTTCTTGTATGAAACCATTCACATTATTAATACATACATATATTTAAAATGTACCTCAGACTAGAAAAAAAGTTCATCAAAAACGATTATTTAAGTTTTTGTTTTTATGCATTTCTTTGTTGTTGTTGTTGTTACATTTCATATAAAAATTTAAATAACTTATCTCAATTAGGTTTCGAAACGAAAAAAATCGTACAACAAAAATACTACGAGGAAAAATTACCCTTTATTTGCTGTTGTTGTTGTTGTTCTGCTTCTTTTTACTGATTCTGTTTGGCTTCAGATTTACTCTTTTTTTTTAATTTTAGAAAATTTAATTTTTTATTTTTAATTTTATTTATTTTAATTGCTTTTGGTAGTAAATTCGCAGTAGCCTGAATGCAATCTGACATTAATTTGGCTTTAGTATTTAAGCAAAATGTAGTTAAAGTTAAAGTTTTTTTTTTTTTTTTAATTTTGTTTTTATTTGTGTATGTTTTTAGCTTTCGTTTTTATTTAAGTTTTGGGTTTAGTTTAAGTGCGTATTTTAAGCAATTTAAATGTTTGGTTTAACAAGTATTTATAAGTAGAGAATTAGTTCAGATGTTAGCCGTCTAGCGGTGTCCAAGGAAAGCTTGCGAAAAGTCCATATGTAGAGGTCAAAAATAAGATCACCAATTGCTAATACCAAAAGAACAAAATATACTAAAATTATATGTGTAAGGGCAATAGAAAAAATGCTAAATTAAAACTTGTCACGAAAGCAATAAAAGAATGAAGAATCGAATTAAAAAAAATTTTATCTATAATAAAAATAAATGAAAAATCCTAAAAGGCTTGGCTGAAAGTTCGCAAAGCTTATGAAACAGTTTCGCTCTCTTTTCGTTTAACGTTACAATAGCGAAAGCTCACTTTTCGACCTCTTTTTTGATTGGATTGCGCAAGCTTTAGACCAAAAGCACAGTTTTATGGCTGTGGAGCTTTTTTCTGCCAACTGTGACAAGGAATAGAACAGTTTTATAGCTGTAGTTGATGGGGCAGAGCTTTATGTGCAGTCGCTAGACGACGCTAAAAGCTCTGCTGTGTTTGCTTAACAGACGGCTAACAGTAATGTAAACATATATGTGTGTGTGTGTATATATTTGTATATATATATATATATATATTTATGTCTTGCTTGTTTTAAGTTAAAAACAGTTTAGCTCAAATAGTTAGTTAAACATTCATGCAAATTTGTTTTTATTTATTTATTTTTTAAGTTTGGTTTAGATTTTTTTTGTGTTTAGTTTTAGGTAAGTAAGTTTGATTTAATATATATATATGTGTGTGTGTTTTTTTTATTGGTATTTTTATTTTTTTTAAGATTAAGGAAGACCTTTGCATTTGTGCATAGCCCTTAGCAGCTGTGTATGTGTATGTGTGTGTGTGTGTGTAAGTTGCATACACTATAAAATCTTACGATGCTAACAAAAAAAATTATGTGTATATATATATATATATATATATATATGTATATATTTATTGTATTTTGTTTTGATTCGCTAAGTGTATGATAATGCCCTGATCTAATGCTAATATATATACTAATTGTATAATATTTGTTATATAAGAAGCATGTCAATGTGACACAAGAAATTAGAATTCGTTTACAGCGTAATTGGTATGGGTTCTGCATGAGGGGTATTCCTGCTGGAGGATTTATGCATTTTATTCTTATAGTTTCTTTTTGTTTTTTTGTTTCGGCTCGTTCTGTAAGCTGTATGCAAAATAAAATACATATAAACGTGTGATTGTGTATGTGTGTGTGTGTGTTAGTATTTTTTTTAGTATTAATTTCCTTGTATGTAGGGTATATCTGTAATTGAATTGATTTTTTTACGCTACGCACGAATTTGCTGTTAACTTTTTGCTGTTCTTTGTTGAAATTTCGTTTAAAAATTCATTTCCTTTTTTTTGTTGTTTATTAATATATTAGTTTATAACTTAAGTATTTGTCATATGTATATTTGACTAACCTCGCTTGATCTATGCTTTAACTATTACTTAATCTAAATACTGTAGTTTATTTTAATTTTAATTATGCTTTTTAACTTTGTTTTTTTTTTTTTTTTTTTTTTAATTTTTTCGAAGCATTTTATTTATCTAATGTTCATTTTGCATCAATATGCTACATGCTTATGTTTTTTTTTTTTGTTTGCTTTTGTTTTTTAACTTTACTCGTATATATGTATATATAATATTTAAAAATAGTTAACTTTATACTTTGCCTTCGACTCCTTTCCTCAACGTTTATGCCATGCAGCACAATTTCCATTTCTTTTAGCTGGTTTTCAGTTTTGCTTTGCGTCTTTTTCGTTTTATTATTGTTGTGGTATTGGCCATGTTTTTTTCTTCTTTCATTTGTTTTTTGTATTTCAGTTAAACAATTTGAAATCGAATTTGCAATCTAATTGTTTTTCTTCAACTTGTTGCTTTTTCATTTATTTAGTATTTTTAACAAATTTCTGTTTGGAGTGTTCAAAATTGTTGAAAGTCCACTGGCAAAAATGTAAAGAACAGAAAAAGTTATCTAGCAGAAGAAACTAACACTAAACACGTGTCCTTCAATAGATGGATAGATAGATATACATAAACAAATTGCTTTAGTTTGGGTTTTCTCTTTGTTCTTTTTTTTTTTTTTTTTTTTTGGTATTTTTACGCCAATTCGTAGTGCTAATAAGCCAAAGTTTCTTAACGGTAACTCGAATTCAAATCAATTGAATGCAGAACGTAAATGAAACGTGTCCTGTGTGTGTGTGCCTTTGGGATGCTCGTTCAAATGGTGTTTAGGAAGAGACTCTGGAGACTTTACAAACTATAGCGACTATAGGAATATGGACTATAGAAACAATAGCACTTAAGCTATATAGACCATGTAACTATAGACTATAGAGTGTAGACTACAGGGACTATAGACTATAGACTATAGACTATAGACTATAGACTATAGACTATAGACTATAGACTATAGACTATAGACTATAGACTATAGACTATAGACTATAGACTATAGACTATAGACTATAGACTATAGACTATAGACTATAGACTATAGACTATAGACTATAGACTATAGACTATAGACTATAGACTATAGACTATAGACTATAGACTATAGACTATAGACTATAGACTATAGACTATAGACTATAGACTATAGACTATAGACTATAGACTATAGACTATAGACTATAGACTATAGACTATAGACTATAGACTATAGACTATAGACTATAGACTATAGACTATAGACTATAGACTATAGACTATAGACTATAGACTATAGACTATAGACTATAGACTATAGACTATAGACTATAGACTATAGACTATAGACTATAGACTATAGACTATAGACTATAGACTATAGACTATAGACTATAGACTATAGACTATAGACTATAGACTATAGACTATAGACTATAGACTATAGACTATAGACTATAGACTATAGACTATAGACTATAGACTATAGACTATAGACTATAGACTATAGACTATAGACTATAGACTATAGACTATAGACTATAGACTATAGACTATAGGACAGTGTACTATAGACTATAGAGACTAAAGGTCTGTAGATTATGGACTGTAAGAACTATAGAGACGTTATGATTATAGGACCATATTCTATAGACACTATAGGACTTTAGATATTAGACTATAAGAGCTATAGAGACTATAGGACTATAGATTTTAGACTATAAGAGCTATAGAGACTATAGGCTATAAAATACAGAAACAATTGGTATTGGCATGTTAAAGGTAGAGTCTTGAAATGTTTAGTATATACCACAGTACGAAGGATACATAGATATTTAAGCAGATCCTCAGAAAGACAGATAGATTAACATTCAGACTAACAGTCAGGTTGACAGTCAGATTGAGAGTCAAATTGACAGTCAGATTGACAGTCACATTGACAGTCAGATTAACATCCAGATTAACAGTCAGATTGACAGTCAGATAAAAACACCGTGTCTCTAGTGAAATAGCTAGTCAGAATTGCAGAATTCCCTAATATCCAATGAACGAGCATTCTACAGTCGACTACACCCGACTCTCATGTGCCTTTTTTTTTTTTTTTTTTATTAATTTGTCAATGATTTCTCGTTTGTTTATTTTGTTTTTGTTCACTTTGAATTTGAAATTTTATTGTGACTGGTTTCCGTTTTGTTCATACGTTTTTCTATCACAGCAACATATTTGTATACACTATTTTACATACTAAAAATGAAAATCAAAGAGAACTTATCCCATACTATAAATGAAATGAATTATTTTACAGTAATTCGACAAGAAAACCAAAATGGACAAATGCAAAAAATGATGAAGTCAGTAGCAGTGTGGGGAATGGGGCAGTAGAGGCAGGGAAAGTGGGGAGGATGAAAAGAAGTCAATACCAAACGCGTCGTACAATTCAACTCGTATTTGACTATAAATATGATCAAATGTTGTATTCCAAGAAATGAATTATAATTTATACAAGAATTGAAATTGAAAAGAACTTGAAAAGCATTCACTTGTTTATGTATTCTTTACATGAATTGAATTTCTTTTCTGTTTATGTGATTATTATTATTATTTTTTAAAAAGTATTTTAGTATTTTGAGTATTTTACAAAAGTAGAAACAATATTTTGTACGACTCGTGCCAAACTGAAGCAATTACGTAGACCGTCAGAGTGAATCATTTATGGGAACTGAAAGAGGCACATAGAAATTGTGATGATCTCTAGAGGAGGAGGAAGCATTCGCCTCGTTCACTTACAATGAAATGTGGCGCCGAGAAGAGCACAGCCAGCGTGGCTATAATTGTGAAGAGCGTGAAAATAATAAGGCACAAACGATCCACGACCATTGCGGCAAATTTCCAATCGCGCGTTATATCGCCTGTCTCGTCCTCTTTCTTCAGCTGCTTGATGAAATGGGTCAATGGATTCACCTGAAATATGCCATGCGTTGTTCGTATTCTACGCACCTGATCGGTTATCCAGCGCAGTTCCTTGAGTATCAGCGCCAGTTCGTATTCCGCCGAGGAGCTGAGGCAGGTGTGGGAAATGGCCTCGTGCATGCGGGAGTCGGGCACAGGTGCGACTGGACCCACTGGACCAACGGGTCCAACTGGACCCACGCTGCCATCGTCGCCTTGCCTGCACGAAGCACTCATTGCAATAGTTTTATCAATATATTATAGATATTTTTTAGGTATACTCTATACGAATTGTTCATCTTATTTATATATTTAGATACTACTTGATCTCAAGCTTCTGAGTGTGTTGAAGCATGAACCAAATGACAACCTTATCACGCCGTCCATTCATAGTGGATGAGCATTCAGGAATTGTCTAGTACAGGGTATAATATAGCGTAGTATCAAAAATCTAGTCTCTACATACTCTCTGTATTGCTACACTGTTAATTTGAAATCTTCAGCTTCAACAGTATTCGACTTACGTTTTAAGAACGACATCAAATCAGCGATTATTATCGATAATAAGAACATGGGATGACTTATCGGAAAAATATATTAAACTCGCTCAGCTCTTGCTATACATGAGACTACATGTATCATTCAATTTTCTAGCATTTGCATTTTACGAGATATCTGCGTTCATGCAGACTCGAGTTTTAAATATTCTCAGGTATATAGGTCGAGTACTTAGAGCAGCTAGAATTTTCAGTTTAGCAAATGTAGAGCTGTTCCGCTTTACGACTACAGACTCTACAAAGCCTTTACTCATGCCTGGTACTTTAATATTAATGTTGTTGGCTGAATTACATTCTCTACAAGTTAAATCTCTGCTTCAAGAACGTATATATATGTATATTTTAAATGGAGCAAATGACGTTGCAAATGACATTTTTTTTCAAGCCCGAACTGGAACTGAATTATCGATGACACCCAATGCAGCCCCAAACCCAACTCAACTCAACTCAAGTCAATATTTTAAAGGACAACGTAATTGTGACTGTTGGTTTATTGACCCAATTCAATGGTCTATTGTGCGAGAGGACATGTGAAAGGAGCCGAGCAGCTGAGCATCTGACGAGCTGAACAGCTAAGCAGCAGCTGAGCCTGAGTCTGGGCCTGGGCCTGGGCCTGAGCCTGAGACACGTGCCAGTAGATGTAGATGTTCATCTCACTGTTCAAGCGTTTTCTATTACGAATGTATTTTTCTTTTCCTGTTCCTTTTCTTAGTCGTCGCATTTGTGCGTTCTGCTTGTCACTAAATGCGTGTCCTTGCCACTTGCCACTATTTTCTCAGATTTTCTCAGATTTTATTTTATTTTATTTTTTTTTTTTTTTTGTGCATGTATTTTGTTTTGTTTCGTTGTTGTTGAGGCACACATCTTGTCATTGTCATTGTCATTGCCATTGTCATTGACTGTCATTTGAGGCTTGCTGAATGCGAATGCGAATGCGGATGTGTCTTGTTGAAGCTTCTTTTCTTATTGTCATTTTCTATTATTTTCCTTACATTTTCTTTTAAACAAGTGCGTTTTAATAGCCTCGTAAAGTGTAGTATAAACAGAGGTATAATTTGTATAAGATAAATAATTATAAATGCTTCTATATATATTGCTGCAGATCAGCTTAGTTATCACTAACATTATGCACATTTCAACAACTGAGAAAGCCTTTTGTCAAAAACCGATATGAATCGATATCGAAAAATAATTATCGATACCATTTAAAGAAAGTATATAATGACAACTTAAATGAGTCTACGCTTTGCTTGTCTCCCAGCTTATTTCTTTTTGAGGTGGGAGTATATATATTTAATACATTTTTATTATATCGATATATATCGATTTATACCAAAAAGCTTTAAGTTTGTTAAACGATTTCTTCTATTGGTCATAGAGAGTATATATTATTACATTTATTGATTTAGGGCAAGTCAAAGACTAAGGATATTCCCTCAGTGGAAAAATTTGATAATAAATGAATTTATTTATAATAAATTAAAAATTTTACGACAAGTTTAGGACTTGGAATGATTTTAGCGATTTTAATGGAAATATTCCTTCAATTTATCTTAATCCTAATGAGGATATACCTTGAATGGAATTTTTTTTTTTTAATTTTTTTAAAATTTTTAAAAAAATTTTTTTAATTTTTGGAATTAAATTAAATGATAAATTAAATGATTAAATGATTGTTCAAAGACTTAAATTGATTTTAGCGGGATATTCTTACAATTCATCCTTGTCTTAATAGGGATATTCCAATAATAATATTAGTTTTGTGTAAAATTAATTTTAAGCTGAATGACTTAGCACTTGAGATATTTTAAGTGCTTTCAATAAAGATATTCTTTCAATTCATCCTTATTTTAATGGAGATATTCTTCAATGGCAGTTCATCTTAATATATGATTTAATCAATTGTATTTAACTTTAATCAATATTTATTGACGGAAAATATATCATCTAACCGTATATGATATCATTGTAATAAAAGTTAACTCTCTGACTTTACCTGAACATTGTCCTGTAGTACGTGGGCTGATGGGGTAACGTGGCGCTAGTGCAGCGATGATTGCAACGAAAGTCGTCATCAATGTCGAGTACGTTGGCGAGCAGCGATTTCGAGGATCTGTTGGGTGTGGATGAGGATGGCACAGCATACACAATAGAGAATGGTGGGTAAATAGATCAGTGAACTGTATTGTATATGGTTAGTAGAGAATATCTATCATATCGATGGTCGATCGGCTAGTACTTAGTAGTCGGACAGTTGGTTCTAGTTAGAGTGTGAGTGAGAGAATTGACGGAATGTTTTTCGGTTACCTTTCCTTGAGCTCAACGTTTTGGATCTGTTGCTTTTTGTCACCAGCTGTCGAGGAGCCCGACGACGACGGCGGCGGCGGGCATTCGTAGCCAACCTGTCCGGGTCTTTGCATGCGCAATATGCAAGGTAACCAATAAAGGAATATTACTCTTATCTGTGTGTGCGAGTTCGACAGAGAGACGGGGTGTTTGTTGGGTAATGCGGTTAAAAATAATAGCAATAAGTATATTTTTGGTTTTTTTTTTTCGGTATAAATAGTATATATATTTTTTTGGTTGTTAAATTTTTTGTATTTATACTCATTAACGGAAGTGAAATGAGTATATTATTTTTTTTAAGCAGTTTTTTTTATAGTTTTTTCATTGGATTTGATCAAATGAAGTGATATTTTTGTTGGATAAAAAATTTTAGCGTGACACAAAATATATAATATATAGATGTATATAGACAGTTTATATATATAAGTATATATATGAGAGTTTAAATTGTTTACATTTAAAGTTTTTAGTTTATAGTTTTAAGACAAATTTATAGCGTTAAAAAGGTTTTTTAGTTCGATTTTTATTTATTTGTTGTATTTAGTTTAAATGAATTTTGGTTATTGAATTGTTTTTGTTGTTGTTGTTTATATTATTATTGTAGTTGTTGTTGTTAAGAGTGTTGTTCAAAGTGTGTTGACATAGGATAGCAACAGCACACGCGTTATAGAGACCATAAAAACCGAATGTTTTTGGCCACATTTGAAGTAGTTCGCATAAATATTTATATATACAGACATTTTTATTTATTTTTTATGTATTTTAAAATTTGTTGTTGTTGGTATTTTTGGTCAGTTTTGCGAAGATAGTTAGTTATATAGTTAGTTAGTTTGTTAGTTAGTTAGTTACAGAGGAGAAAAAGAAACAGTTGAAGAGGCATTTGAGTTGTTGAGTAGAGTTTTTTTTTGTTTGCGTTGCGAGTTGCCAGAGTTTAACGTAGTTGTAGTTGTAGTAGTTATTGTTGTTGTAGTTGTTGTTGTTGTAGTTGTAGTTGGCCAGAGTATTTGTTAGAGAAATAAAAATTCGGTGTGATTATTTGTGCTTTGGTTCTCGAATATGTAAATATGCAATTAATATAAAGTTAAATAGAGAGAGAGAGAGAGAGAGAGAGAGAGTGATAGAAAGAGAGAGAAAGAGAGAAGGGGGGAATAGTAGGTCTCAGCAGAACATTGAATCAAAACAAAAACAATTTGCTTACATATATACATATATATACGTATATATATAGACATATATAAATGTGGACTTTGGTAAAAAAGATTCAAAACGATATAAAGAAAAACATTGATATATGAATTTATGCAACATTTAAGGTGTTAGGTTCACATTTTTTTTAATGGAAATTAATTGGGTTTTTTTTTTTTACTTTAGTGAAAAAAATTAGTTTAATTTTTTTTTTAAGTCTGTCAAATCAGACAGTTTTCAAACAGATATAAAAATATAGTCTTGTTCATTTTATTTTTTTAGTTAAGAAAGTTTTGAGTTAGACTATTTCATTAAATAAATATATTCTCTATTTAAAGTTTAAACATTTAAAATTGTTGTGTGTAAAATTTTTTTTTTTTTTTTTTTAGGTTTTAAGCTTTATAAAGAAAACTTTTAAAATTATTATTAAATATGCCACATAGAAAATAAATTCAAATTTTCTTAACATTATTTATATGAAATTATATATTAACGTCATATTATTTACTTTAATTTTTTAAATTTTTTTAAAAAGAAAATTGAATGCTATACAGTTACTAAAAACAATTAAGAACTTTGCAGTCGGGCATTACCGACAACAGAATACTCATTCACGGCCCAAGTGCTGTCCGATCCATTTTTCGATTTGCCAAGCCCCCAATGGGTATATTATAAAATAGAGAATAATAGAGGCTAAACGAAATTTTGTCGTTCAATTATGAAATTATAGCTTTATAATTATAAGATACAGTTCTACCCCATTTCCACGCCCTCAAAGGGCGAAGTCATATCCACCATATCTGAAGAGATAATGCATTTTCCGTATTGCCACGCCCTTAATGGGCAGCTCAGAAAATCTGGGACATTATCTTTCGATGTGAGCTGGAATTTCAAATCTCTGGCTTGAATAGCCTAGAAATTCTTAGAATTTATACGGACAGATAGACGGATGGACAGACGGACTGCAAAACGGATACTGCGCAACACTAATATACTCATTTCGCTTTGTGAATGAGTATAAAAATGTTATTTTTGTTTTTTGAGAAATTTAAGTTCTTATATAATTAATAAATAATTATTTTTTTAATTAAAATAAAAAAAATTTTTTTTTTAAATGTTTATGTTAAAATTTTGCTTGAAATTTAAATTGATTCGGACACATAGAAATCGGTAAAATTTGGTATATTATATATTTAGGGACATATGTAATTATTTTATTATTATTATTTAATGAGAAATTCAAGCTCATGTATAGTTATTATAATAATATTATTCAGTATTTTTTAAAATTCCATTTCGTATATGTAAATCGATAAGTTTATTGAAAAAATATGTTTGCCTTTGGTTTTTGCACGAGTTGCAAATATATTTTGCATGCAGCATAGTGTAAAAGTATAAGAAGAGCTAATATTTTATGCATATGAATGGTGAGTAAATATGTATGCAAGTGTATTTTGTTCTGCTCAGTTTTCGGTTTTCAATGTCTAAGAGTTGAGAGAGTGATGTTTGGTAGGACATTAGGCGTGTATGTGGGCATAATAAGTATATACAATGGGGCGGTGTTTGGACTGTGTGTGTGTGTGTTTGGGTGTTTGGCTGTGTATGTGTGAGCTGTGGAGTATATTTTGGATGTTTTGATTGTTTCGTTGAAATGATATTCATATTGAAACAAAGGCAACTTGAAAACGTTTCGGAATTCGCAGAGTTAAGTAAAGAATAAGAAATGAATTTATGTAAATGTAGAGAAGAAGAGAACATAAAAGCAAAAAAGAAGTAGGTAGGTAGGAGAAATAGCTTTTCGTTTTTGTTTTTTGTTTTGTTTTTTTTTTTTTTTTTTTTTTTTTTTTTATAAATAAGTAAGTAAGTAGTAAGTAGTTAGCAAGTAAGTTAGTTAAGTTTAGTTTAGTTTAAATATAAATATTACCCATTCACTCATTTCATGCGTATCTGGATTTCTATGATGATAATTGAGGATAAGTATGGTTGACACAACTGATGAGGCCACCATAAACATAATGCAATTGAAATAAGTTCCTAGAAGGACACAAAAATTACACAAACATTGTGGTAATTATATCGATTGTTGGTGCGAATTCGCTTCACGCTCATTCTAAGCTAGATATATTTTTGGATTTTGGTTAGATTTCGGTTGTTGTTTTTGATTTTGCTCTTCGATATGATTGAGCACACCTATTATTGCCCCATTGCCCTGATATCGAGCGTTGATGTCGGTTATCGTTTATCGTTATCGTTAAGCAATTCTTTTCGTTTGCTTTGTATGTGTGAGTGCGTGTGTGTGTTGTTGTTTGTTGTTGTTGTTGTGTTTGTTGGTTTCTTTGTTATTGAGTAAAAAAAAAACTTTGTACACATTTCGATAGCTCGCGCTGATCTATGTATATATATACAAAAAAAGTTCGCATCGTATTTTTTTTTTTTTTTTTTTTTGGTTTATCGAAAGGCAACAACAACAACAGACTATAGTAATTTTGATTGTTGTTTAGCTCGTAGTCCTTGTTGTTGTTGTTGTTGTTCGGTACTTTCGTAATGCTTACTAAAACTTAACTTTGTGGCAAGTGGAAGTAAGAGTTAGAGAAAAAGTTCAAAGCAGTATTTAAAAAAAGTTAGTTAGTAGTAGTAAGTAGTAGTAGTGGTAGTATATATATTAACATTTATGTATGTATATATTTAAAAAAGAATATCTTTTTTTTTTTTTTTTTTTTTTTTTTTTTTTTTTTGATTTTAGTTTACTTTAGTTTTCAGTGAGAGAGAGTTAAAGTTATTTTACAGGTGTACGCCTCGCCGACATATACATATACATATATGGAATAGAGTAGTTAAAGAGATAAGTTTAGGTAAAGTTGGAAAAAGCTCTGTGCTACTTAGATACTAACTGACGTAGTTCCTTTCCTTTTACGCCCCCCGCCTCCTTTTTTTTTTTAAATAAATATTTCAATATATTTGACGCTGCAAACTTGTGGCCCGATTCAAGGAGTGGTTCGGTTCCTTTGAACCAAAGGAACTGTAACTCTATTGAACCGAACCGCGCGTTTGTGTGCGTCTCAACTTTCAAAAAGTGTTTGCTAGCTCAGTATTTTGGTATTTTTGTACTCTGTGTTTGTTGTTGTTGGTATTTTTTGGCATAACCCTACTTTTTCAGTATTTCTTTATTTTTTAGTTTGCTGTCGCTTTTTGTGCACAACCAATTATCCGCAATCATCATTTTGAGTTAAAAATCGAGATCTGATTCGGTTCCTCATTATTGTTGAGCTGTAAATTGATGAAAGACTTTGGGTCTCGGGCAAAGGTGTTTTGATTTGGTATTGATTGGGTTTTGTTTTGGTATTCTGTATGGCTACGGTTATTGTTGTTGTAGTAGTACTTGTGGTTGTGGTTAGTATTTTTTTTTTTTTAGTATTTTAGTATGGCAATTAAATAGGAAATGGAACTGGTTAGTTGAGTTATTGTCTGGATCAGTGCGTTGTTTTTTTTTGTTTTTTTTTTTTTTTTTTTTTTTACTGCTTTGGATTTACATATACATATTTAGCTTAAACTATTTAATTGCATTTATTTAGGTTATGCACAGTGAGGAGCGAAAAATATATAGAAAAAAAAAATATAATTATAAAATGTTTTCATTTCTTTCATTGACTATTTACATATGTGAATGTATGGGTGATAAAATAAATGATAAATAAAATAAAATGAAAATGGATTTTTTGTTTGTTTGTTTGCCTTTTCACTGTGCATATGAGTTAAGATTTTTGCATTTAGCTTTACATAATATTTGTTGGATTTGAGATTAAATATTTTATTTTGTTTTTGTTTTTGTTTTGGGTCCCATACACTGCACTACATAATTGTAGGTTATAAGGCGCTTTAAGCATATGAATGAATGTAAGTGTTTTTGTTTATATATTTTGCTTTTGTTTTTGGTTTTTGGTTTTTATATACAGCAACTAGTCGCATATGCATATATATTTGATATTCATGGAATTACCTTAATGTTTGCATACAAGCCAGACATACGTACCTACACATGTACGGTATTCTACGACATATGTGTATGTATATGCATTTATATACAAACGTACATATGCATATGCATGTATGTAAGTATGTATGCTAAGGGTATCCAAACAATAAAAAAAGGAGATATATACATATATATTTCGCAGTGTTTTATTTACAAGTGTTGTTGCTTCATCTTCTTCAGCTAATTGTGTATGATACAATGATGTATGTGTGTGTGTATGTGTGTGTGTGTGTGTGTGTGTGTGTGTGTGTGTGTTTGTATATGTTAAAGAAGCGAAACACCATTAAACGTATATTAAAACATGTGATATGCAGTTAGCAATAATTTTGTATGAGGCTCTGAGGGGTACATAAGAGAGAGAGAGAGAGAGATAGATGAAGATAGATAGAGAAAGAGAGAGAGAGAGTTGCTACCACACTACTTCACGAAACTAAAACCAATTTGTTCTCAAAATAAGTGAAGAAAAAGCATAAACAAATTAATAAGTCAAATATGTACAGAAAAACGTATGTTAAAGCCCGTGAGAGAACATATATACATAGGTATAGATAGAGATAGAGATATGCCTATACATATATACAATATATTAACTGATCCATTGAACCCGTTACACTCTTTCATTTCCCCTCTGAGTGTTTCAACATTTGCAATTTCACATGCAAAACATGAATATTATTATTTTTTAATTTTTTAACATTTAATTTTGCTATACAAAATTTGCGTGTGTGTGTGTATGTTTTTTTTTTTTTTAAACAGTTAAAGACAGACATAGCATACATTATATATATACATACATATACATATGGGTACATATACATATATATAACAAAAACAGAGCGTGAGACAGCGAGACAGCGAGACAGAGAGAGAGAGAGAGAGAGAGAGAGAGAGAGAGAGACAAAGAGAGAGAGAGACAGACTTAGAGAGAAAGAGCGGGGTAGAGCAAGTGTGTGTGAGAGAGACAGAGTGAAGTAAAGCAAGAGACAGAGAGACCAGAATTTAGCTTGTTTTTTAGTTTATATAAATTTATCACGGACATTAAAATTGTTTCAATAGATATTTACATAGCTGTTCCCATTTGGTGTGTGTATGTGTATGTGTGTGTGTGTGTGGGTGGGGCGCTTAGCTCTAGCTCCAATTGTTAACGGCCTCCGTTTCAGTTTGAGGTTTCAGTTTCAGTTTCAGTTTGAGGTTGACATTGCCATTTCGCCCCCGTTGCACGATTCCCATAGAATTCTGGAATACTTGCCACACATTCATATTCATATTCATATTCATATTCAATTTTTCATTCACATTTGTATTCATATTCATGGCTTCTCTATGAATGTGCAATACAACATTATATGAGATAGTATTCATCAATTGTTTCAGTTATGAACGTGTGAATGTGTGTGTGTGTGTGTGAATGTGTGTTTGTATGGCCTGTGTCTCACATGTCTATGTTTGTGTTCGTGGAGGGGAACGTGGTCGAGGGGCGGGGGCGTGGGCATGTCAACAATTTTGTAGGCATTTGTGTTCTTGCATGCCAACAAGAACGTTTTTTCTTTTACATTATGTGGTAGTGGTCCTTGGCTAAAATACATACATATGCATCTGACACCGGCATTGATAATGCGAGCCACTTTTCGTTGTACGCATAGAATCCAAAATATAAATCACAGAATCGAAAGAAAAAACAAGGCGCTACACAAGTTGTAAAAAAAAAAACAACAAAAAAAAAAAAAACAAAAAACTAAAAATATTTATACAATTATACATACATACATATAAAAGACTTATATATATGTATGTATGTATACACATACATATATACATATGTAGAGAGTGATACTTAAGGAAGCAGAAAACTTGGCAGAGTTGCCTAATATACGACTCTCTCGACTCCCGACTCATGAATCTGGCCTTGAATTTTCTTAATTTTTTTCATTCAATTTTCATTTTTATTTTTTTAATTTTTAATTTTTTTTTTTCGATTTACCAAATTACAGGAGTTTGTCTATCGAAAGGTCCAGAGTGCATGCTGTGAGTTTGATTGCCATACCAGTCCTCGATACGATAAAATATATAGGTATATATAAAATACGATATTCAAAATACGATATTCAAAAGTACACAACTACAGTTGATAAGTGTTTGTGTGTGTGAACTTGAATGAATGTCTGCAACTGTCTATGTGTATGTGTATGTATGTGTGTGTGTGTGTGTGTGTGTGTGTGTGTGTGTGTGTGTGTGTGTGTGTGTAATGCATACATACTCATTGTAAATCTGTGCATTGGCTGTTGTTGTACTAAATGTACTAAATATGTCTTGGGTGAACTAAATATACAGAAATTATTGGTTATATATGCGGAGGGGGGTGGGGGCCCGGCATGCGTAAACGGATGAATGGGTGAAGGTTTCTTTATTCATTATTATTATTTTTCTTTTTTTTTTTTTTTTTTTTTTTGTACATCTGAAATGTTCGAAATCTTGAGTTAATCCAAATGGAAAATTGAACGTTTTGTAAGTAATTTGAAGTAATGAACGTATACGGTCAATAAAAAACGTTAGTATGACTTACACATGAGACTTACCTTACTATTTAGGCTACAAATGATAGAATTAGAACACTGAACATTTGTTATTTTATGGATTATTAGTATATGGTATTTGAATGTTGTTGTTGTTGTTGTTGTGGTTTTTGCTCTTGGTATTGTCATGCTTCAATAAGTTATTATCAGTAGTACTATGGTAAACCAATTAATGTTTACTCTATCATTACAAAAAACTTTTGGTTTTTTTTTTTTTGCTATGCATGACACTGATATGGACTTGATTTATTAATATGGATTTGGTTAGTTATAGTAATACGCATCTAAACTAATGTTATGCTAATGCGAGTCTACCTAATTGCTAATACTCTAGGTGACTAAATGGTGTCAACATACTGGATAATATATGGTTACACACCTACATACAGATACATATGTATGTATGTATATATACATGTATGCCTACATACATACATACCTGCATATGTATATATAGGTGCATTCATATGTATATGTACATACATACAAACATTTGAACGATCCTAATATATTATAGCATTCACACATATACACACATACAGCTGTAAATTGTCTCATAATATATGTATAATTGTTGATTTGCTATCAAAATATTCCTGAGTTACATTAGAGAGATCATATTAAAAACTTGAGTGGTTTTTGAAAACTCTTTAGTTATATTTGATAGATTAGGAGTTATGCTGAATGATCGCTCATTTAAATAGTTCTCAGCTCTGCAGTGGAACTGGCTCAAAATAATAATTTAAATTTCGATTTCAGCAAGTCTAAACAGAATCTCGAATTTTTTATCTCTATTTTTTTTTTTTTTTTTTTTAATTTTAATTCAAGAAACGCTTAGCTAAAGCTGAAATTAATTTATCAATTTTAACTAAGGTAATTTTAGAAACAATATTTTGGTATATGACTGACAATGGAAAAGTCTGCATGCATCCATCAGGAACTTTACATTAATCTTCAATTGGGAGTCTAAAATTTGCAATTGATGCATTTACAGGTTTTCCATTTAAGACTCCAAGTTGAACCAGTAAAAAGTTTTTTTTTTGTTGTCTTTGCAGTTCTCAACGTGAGCGGGTGGAACTAGTTTCTAGTGAACTAAAATATACTATATCACTATAATTTGCTAGTTATGCATAGATTCACACACACACACACACACGCGCATACACGCTACATACAAACAGAGTATATGCGATTGACACTACTAATTGATGTGATTCTAACTAATTGTTTATGATCTCATATTATTTGCATAGCGACTAGCAACGGCTTGTATATCGCTACATTTTCCAATTGGAATTTCGACTAACTTGAGCTAGTTCATTGTTGTATTCGAATGACATGAATTGTTATTGTTCAGTTACTTTTAATGGGCACTGTGTGTGTGTTACGTGCTGCAATTGTTAGCTCTAAATCTAACTTAATATTTATAACACTTTGCTGAATACTTTTTGAATGCATTGCAGGGGCTACTATATACATATGTATATATATACAGATATATATTTATATATGTATATAGTTCAATGCACGTAGCCAAACTTGGGATGTGTTTCTGGTGCGAGGCGCATAAATTGTGCAAAGTTTATGAAAACGTTTAAATCACAGCGGCCCCCAAAGGCGCGCGAGGGTCCCCATTGCCATCGCCATCGCCATCAGCCAATGCCATTGCCATCAGCCATTGCCATTGCCATTGCCATTGCTATTGCCATCAGCCATCAGCTCCATTTGCCGGCCATTAAATGAAATATTAAGAAAACAAAGTGCAAACAAATACCAGAAACTAGACACTAAAACATTTCTCCCTCCCCCTCCCCCTCTCTCACTCACTCTCTCTCTCTCTTTCGCTCGTTCTGGCCAAAGTTCGCTCCCCTGGCGCGAAGGTGCGCGTGTTGCATGAAACTCGAAACGAGGCAATCTCTATTGTTGTACGTGTTTATGGCCATCAAGGAGGCAACTAGCGAAACTTCAAAATTTGAAACTAATAGCGCTGCAAATCTTCGACGAGCTTTGATTTCACTCTTGCCGGACAAATTAATACGAGGCGAGAACTTTACGTTCAATGTTATTTAATATGCTTGTTGACTTTGAGTCCATTCATTGCGTGTTAATTGAAACTGCGCGCATTTCATCTGAGCTAGCAACAATTGAGGACTATCAGCTCTGCAGCTGTGTGTAGCTGACATGCCTACAAGGCACATGTACACATGCACACATACACATACACATACATATACATTTATACCTACGTGACTGTAGAGCAAAGTTAATCTAGCCCAAGCAGCTGCCATGTGAGGCGTGACCAACCAGCAAGAGTGATAATACTTCTGATAGCTATATTTCAGCAGCTGTTTATACAATCGATAATATTGAGTTGTTGAAGTATTCTATAAGCTTTGCCATTTGTAGTATTTACTTTATATTTGTGTAAAATATTTTACAGGAATTTCCTAGTAGTAGTTTTATGCATACTATAAATAATTATAGAAATTTCCGTTCACTATCAACGTGAATTTCGAGCACTGACTCGTGATTAGTTAAACATGTTGAGAATTTGGCCAAAGTTGATGGAATCTCAAGCTAAAATGCAGCTGTATATTGATCCGAAGTTAGTTGTTATTAAGGCTGAATCAGAAAAGTTGATAGGGGGAGTCATTTTAAATATGAGCATGTATTGAAAGCATTTGCTAGCAGAGCTAAGCCCCTTATTATAATAATATTTCATTAGACATAAAATGCCATGAATAAAGCTTTCAAATAAAAATATTAAATATATTACTGATTAAAGCTTTAAAATAATAATATTAAATATATAAATATATTAATGAATAAAGCTTTCAAATATAAATATTTAAATATATAAATATATATTTATATGTTTATCTATATATAAATGTAATTTCTCTTAATATAACTCTTCTGTAGTCAGCCTATATATATACATATATTCAGCTGCTAGTCCTGCTATACACTGCTAAAAAAATATAGATCATTTGGATATTAGATAAGCTCACTTAGATATCACCCCAAGTTGCACTTTTTACCAGTATTTAGCTTGACTTAAAGTCTATGTGTGCATACTGACAGCGCACACTGTAAAGCTTTAAGCATCAGCTTTAGGCATCCCCTTCTAAGCTCTGACGAAAACTAATAAAAACGAGTTAACAAAACGAAATATGACAAAAAAAAAGCATAAAAAAATGCAGCAAATTAGCTTGGCGGCAATTATCGAGGCTGTGCGGAAGGTAAAAATCTTGGCTGATTAGTTGTTGTTGTTGTTGTTGCTGCTGTTGTTATTATTAAAATAGTCGTAGTAGTAATAGTAAATATTGTTATTGTTGTTGTTATTGTTGTTCTTGTTGAGCAGAGTTGAATGTGCGTTAATTTGAAGTCAGCGAGTTAGACAGCGATATTTATAGAGATAGATAGAGAGAGAGAGAGAAAGAGACAGCGAGCGAGCGAGCGCTGGGCAATTAGCCCAGCCGACGAACGCCAGATGGCGCTGCCTCTACTTACCCAACAGCGGCACAGCATCGGATGTAGCTGGCATCGTTTCCGCTACCATATTCAGGAAGACTGTGAGCGATAGTAAAATAGTAACTCCTGCAAGTATGCAGCACAAAATTATTGCACAAAGGTGTGTAGGCATTGGTATGTGTGTGTGGGTGTGTGTGTAAGATAGAGAGAGAGAGAAAGAGAGAGAGAGTTACATACGCAAAGAAAAAGAAAAGATAGAGAAAGAGAGAGAGAGAGAGAGAGAGCAATTGTGATAGAGAAAGAGAGATAGCATTATTATTCATATTATATTCATTAGCTTTAAACTGATTCGCTAAGAGTTGTGTTTCCAGCTGATCCTGCCTGCTGCTCCAGCGTTGCTGCTGCTGCTGCTGCTGCTGCATTGATGCATGGATGCGTTTATATGATATAATTGTCCCACTTGGTGAATAAAAAACTACTACCGTATTCTCTGCGCTGAACCTCAAGCGTCGTCGTTCGTTGTCCGTCGGAATTTCGTTTCGTTTCTAGTGTCACAAAACTAGTTTTCAATACGAAATAAAAGCATAACTAAAAACACGCACACACACACACACATACATATACGTTTGTCATTGGTCCTGCGGCACCTTATGGAAGTTATCATTATTTATGGTTTTGCTTGGGGTTTTCTTTTGGCCAGCTGGCGCTTGTCAGTTCGAGTGCTTAGCGTTATCAAAAATTTTGTTGTTCCCTTTCTTTTTTTTTTTTTTTTTTTTTTTTTTTTTTTTTTTATATTTTTATATTTATTTTGGTGTGTCCTGTGCATATTTTATGCTCTTGCTCTTTTGAGGTTATATAAATTATGTGAAAAGTCAGCTGGCTGAGCGTCATGGAGGTTCGTGATGGTGCCGGGGCGGAGGGGGTCGGAGGCGGCAGCCGCCAAAAGTGTCGGGCAAACATAAATTAGCCACAGGGTTTTACGCAAACTTGTCTATTATGCATGAGCCATGGCAGCCCTAATGCGTTTTGCTACACACACACACATGAATACTCTCACACACACACACGCATGGCCATGGCACAGCGAGGCTGGGGCTTCCTTTGCTATGAACAATTTTTAAAATATGGCAATTTTTTGTTGTTGTTGTTTTGTTTTCTAGCAGCTGCAAGCAAAACTTTTGCTGCTCTCGCTCATAAACGCGATATATTTATATCTAGCATACTTATATAAGTATTTTCGTATAGCTGTATTGTATAAATTTTGGCATGCACCATATGCTGCATGTTGAAAGTACGTGATGAGCCCCAGCGACAGCCATCGTCATAGCCACGGCCAATGTCTGTCTGTCGTTGTGTCAGTTTTGTTCCACTGTGTCTGTGCGTGTGTGTGTGTGTGCGTGTGTTTGTGAGGCACATGCTCAGTATATGAGCTGCAAAGCATTTTGCCACATTTTCGCATAACTTTCTCAGCTTAATGTGTGCGTGGGTGTGCCTTGTCAGTTGTCAGAGCTGTTTGCCGAAAGATGAGAGGCAACAGAGCGGCCATAGATCAACAGATCATAATAGTCGTATCTGTGCCGGAGAATTGAAAGAGCCAAGAAAAGAAACGAAAGGCGCCGCCTTAACTTTGCTCAAGGTATATATCACAGCTGCAGACAGTCTGGAGCTCATCGAATTTCTATTTTCATTTTCATTTATTCATTCATTTATTCATTTATGTTATATTCATTTCATAGCAAAAGCTTGAACTACTTGAAGAACTACAACGAGAATAGAGAAGAGAGCTCATAAGAATTAGAGCTGATAAGTCGATCGATGAGAGCAACGATAGTATCGATGATTGAAACCAGGGCTGGGCACTGCAGCTCGACTTACAACTAGAGCAGTTGCGTGATCGATGCAAGCAACGATAGTATTGAAAGCCGGCAACCAGCGATAGTTGCAGCAATCACGTGCAGCTACTATCGATAAATATTCATAAATAGCGAAATACAATAAGCGCAACAAATTTGCGCTACTTTTTGAACAGAGTTCGTGAGCTACTCAATCATGGCCTTGGCCCACACAGATCGAGTGCATAAATCAAGTCTAAAAGGACTAAAATGCAGCTTTACTCTCTTTTTTTTTTTATTTTTTTTTTATTATCAATGGCGAACGATGCGAAAATGTATCAACTCGCAGCACAAAAGGCAACGGTAGAGGCAAAGGCAAAGGCTGTGCTTCTTGTTGCCTGAATGCATTAGGCAGCAGCAGTGCCACATATAATACATACATACATATATAGTTTTATATATATATGTGAGTTGATTGTAAATATTTGTATTTGAGTTGCGTTGCTTGACATGGTTAACTAGGGAGCGGCTCACTGTCGAGTGAGGTTCAAGGGTTCAAGGCTCTGTGCTCATTTGCCTTCCGTCCGTCCGTCTGTCCGTTTGTCCGTCTGTCGTCCTGCATTTGCGTCCTATTCTCCCAGCTGAAAGGTGGGCCAGCAGCTGTGCCATATTTTTCACTTTTGCTAGCGTTGACTTTGATTACAAATGATGGTGACGGCTGCTGTTTTTTTTTCTTTTTTTCTCCTATTTAGTTTTTTTTTTTTTGCACTTGCAACACTCGTGAGCTTTGTTTGTTCGCTGGCAGAGTTGTTGCCATTGCCGTCGGCCATTGGATTGCATTGCATTTGCATAGTTAGTCAAGGCTCTATGCGGCGTATACGTAATGTATGTGTGTGTGTGTGTGTGTGTGTGTGTGTGGCAGTCAACTTGTGTCCTACTGCTGGCAGCCTCTTATAGCGAATGGGCTTCCGTTTCACAATAAATATATAAATATATATACGTATGTGTGTGTGTGTGTGTTTTTGGTTTCATTTGATTTAGAGAGAGACAGAGATAGACAGAGAGATAGAGAGAGAGAGAGAGCATGCAAGTAAGAAATCCTACAGCAAACTTGTCAACAATTAAATATATACGAAACACTTTTGGAACATAGACTAGTAGTAGTAAAATTGACTATTTAGTTGCGGGAAAATATCAGAGTTGCAATTGCTACTTGTTGTTGTTGTTTCTGTTGTTTTTGTTGTTGTATTTATTTCGATATTGTTTTCAATTTTCTGTTTTTTTGTGATTTTTGTTTTTTTTTGTTTTTGTTTTTTTTTAGTTTTTCTGGACGGACACTTACCAAGCGATAGCTTCTCACCAGAATCTGGTGGCAGTGTAAACCCTAGCAGTGCCATCGATGCGATCAATACGCACGGCACGATCAAATTGAAAAAATAGTATAAAGTTTTGCGTCGTATCAAAATGGCGAATGTTATGTCAATATAAGGTTCTGGGCAGCAATTATAGTAGATTTCATTACGTTTACCGGGCACACCTGATCAATTTTTGGTTGAATTTATTGTTTTTTTTTTTTTTTAATTTGTGATGTGGTTAGAGTTGTTGTTGTAGTAGTAGTAGTAGTTGTTGTTGTTGTTTGTTGTTTGTTGGTGCAAATGAGATGAGCATATGCAGAAAAGAGAATGAGAATTATTGATAGTCATTAATTAGTAAATTATTTTGCAAATTATTTATGCTAATTTTGCGATTTACTTCATTTTACAAACATTATTTAATTCTGGTTTTAGTTGATTGTGTGTGTGCGTGTGTGTGATTCGTTCTTTTATTTTATTTTTTAAATAGAATATTTAATGACATCTATATGAAATGAATATTTCACACATGAATCTCACCTAACAAGTCCCATTCGCCGTTTGTTATGAAACTCGAGATGTCGCCGCCGGCTTCGTCTTGTAATTGCAAATCCAGCTGTAAATAAAATCAAGCAAACAAGAAGCTCTTGAGATTTCTGCGTGTGTGTGTGTGCAAATATAATAAATACTTAATCCTAAATGTTTCCACAGTTGTATTACACACATACATAAATAAATATACATACATACATGTTTGTAAGATATTTTTCTTATGTATTTTTCATAGGGATTTGTGTCAAAGTCCAGCACAGAGCAGCTTAAGCTGTTGACCAAGAAGCGAAAAAAGAAGAGCAGCAAAAATGAAAGGCTGCAAAATGTAATTTTATCACCATAACAACACTCATACCAACACACCAGCTCAGCCGATTGTCTATGGATGTGGTTGGCAGAGCTTGGCCAGGCAAAGTCCTCGACAGCCTCACATATGTATTTGCCAATAACTACACAAAGTATAACATGCTTGGGTTAAGTCGCGTCGCTGTATATGTTATTCTGGGGAATACACACACACACACACACACACACAGGCCGAGGCCCAGGGCGGCAGGCAAACTTGCCCCAATTACAAATTGATTTATCGCACTTTCACTTAACAACAGTTTATGCGATTTTGTTGCTTAAAGTTTTTTATGTGCTGCCGATGACAGCAAGTTTACTCTTGCTCACATCCAACCATGTAACAAGAGCCCAAGTGAGGCGAAAAGTGAGAGCAGCAGCAGCAAAAACTGTATATATGTGGATAGAAAAAGTCCTCTCTCTGGAGAGGGAGTGAACGACTAGGAGATACCTGGCACACAAGGCGTAGAGCTGCTGCTACTGCAATCTGTCCAAGGCAAGCATAATACACACACACACACACATATGCACACGCAGCGTGAGCAAACCCGCACATTTCCATTGGGTTCAGCACATAACGAAAATAGTTATCTTTACTCAGTCAAACAATAAGTAAACTTTGTTCAGATTGCAGGCAGAGCTAAGCAAGGACATTTGATATACATACACACATACACACATATATATGTATACTTATCTAAATATATATATATAGTGTATGCTTCAATTGCTAGCATATTGAACAATTAACTTTGAGATAGAAATTCTAAGGGAATTTACTGAAGCGTAGTTATAAGAAGTGACTCAAAGACGGCTAGACTTCTAGATACTTCATCTGGAAAAAGATTCTTTCAATGACTTTATGGAGTTGGGTATCTACAGGGATATGATATTTATTAAATTGTTTAATGATTAAGTTCTTAGTATATTTATTATGTTACGATATACGAATGTGCTTAAAAAGTAAGATCACAATTCCAATTATCTAATGACGGTAAGGTGAGTGATTATTTATTATCGATAGTATCGATTAAGAATAAGCGTGGTGCCAGATCCTTTTGCTCATGTTAACTATATTTTACTAGAATTTGAATCACTGGAAGGATGCAGATTGATCTTTCGTATATCAAAGAATCGTGAATGAATCATTCGAATACCCACAACTGCATTTACTTTCATTTTTGGCATTCAAAAGTTTCATGGAATGAACTAATTCATTCAACTAGCTCATTGATCTTAAGTAAGTCATGCAAGAATAAAGAAACTTGATAATATTTAATTTCAATGCCAATTGAATTGAACTAAGAATTTCATTCAAATTGAAGCTGATCATAGCAAATAATTAAATCAATATGTTATCATTCAAATTTCGCATTGGGTAGCTTTATCTATCAGCAAGTTAAATGTGACAGTTTGTTGAAACAAATTGTTTCAATAGCCGATGTGCTCTACTTAAATAAAGCAATTTTAGGCCTACCTCAATATTTCAAAAGGTTTTTTTTTTTTTTTGGGTTTTGATTTCAACTTCAAACTTTAAACTTAAAATATATTTGCAGCCTTGCACATATGTCGCACACAACTAAAATTAAGCCTGATTAGCTTCATTCACTTTTACAGGGTATACTAAAATATGCAGTGTATTGTTATCGTAGTATAGTATCATTATGTGAATGCTAGCCACATAATGCTGTCATTTTGTCAATAAAAGTCATATAAAACTCACGCATAACTTGTGGCCGTGTGTGTATGAGTGTGTGTGTGTTTATGTGTATGTGTGTGTGTGTGTGTGTTTGTGTGTGTTTGTGTGTGTAACTTGTACAGTTCAGAAAAGCAAACAAACAAGAAAAAGAAAAACGAAAACAAAAATCGCTTTTACTTGACTTTTTTGTTTTTGTTTTTGTTTTTTTTTTTGTTTTTGTTTTTGTTTTTTTGTTTTTTGGGTAAATACAAGTATTTTGTGATGTGCCTGGACCAACGTGCGTCATTTGACTGCTAAGTTCAGTCTGAGATGTTTTCTATGTATCTATGGATGAAAGAGTCTCTCCTGCTACTATTTATCGCCCCCACTCGCTCTCTGTCCTCTGTTGGGGTAAGAGTGATAGGTATACGAGGGAATGGGGAGGAAACTAGATAAAAGTTTTCTCATTTAAATGTTCCAAACAAAAGAGGGCGCTAGACAAACAGCAGCATCTCATCTGCTTTGTGCAAATCAAGTCAAAGCCAAAAAGTGTTAATGTAGTTGTAGGCAAACACTTAAACGCACACACCCATAGATGCGCACGTACAGCAGACAAACACACACACACACACACACACTCACAAACATTCGCTGATAAGAGAGAACAAAAATATGGAAACTTAATTGTAGTTGGTGTGCGTGAGCGCGCTCGCGTGTGTGCTTGTGTGTGTGCGTGTATTGGTATGTTGCCTGTTGTCTATGCACGTGCTCGAATCCATTCATTTATTTAATATTTGTTTTTTGAGTTCTCTAGGAAATGCCAAAAGCGTAGGCCAAATATGCCAGAAACTACCAAATAGAACGAGCTCTAATTAAAAGTATTTAAGCTTCTTATATATTATATGTGTCTGTGCGTGTGTATGTGCGTGTGTGTGTGCCTGTGTGTGTGCCTGTGTGATATATTAATTAATTGGCAAAAATCTTTCAAATTTCAAATGCGGCCTAATTATAAAGCCCTTAACACATTCGTAATTGTGCATTCATTCAAGCATTCAGCCACAAATGTAGAAATTGTAATTTAAAGGCACGGCATATGCTCGAATAAATGATTATTGTGCCTCCAATGATCCATTTCACACATTAACCGAGTTCAATAAGTAAATGTTTTCGTACAAATTTGCATATAAAATATTCTCAATTGGTGTGCAATGATCCATTTTATATTTTAACCAAGTCAAAGTAGCAAACTTTTTCTTATACACTTGTCTATCAAATATTCTCTAAGACAATCAATAAGAGTCAATGTGAAACTAGTCTATGAATGTGTTCTTGGTTAGCGCTATTAATAAATTAGAATTGATTGGCTGATGAGCTGTCTGAGCAAGAATGACAATGACAATGACAATGGCAATGACAATGACAATGACAATGACAATGACAATGACAATGGCAATGACAATGACAGTGACAATGACAATGACAATGACAATGACAATGACAATGACAATGACAATGACAATGACAATGACAATGACAATGACAATGACAATGACAATGACAATGACAATGACAATGACAATGACAATGACAATGACAATGACAATGACAATGACAATGACAATGACAATGACAATGACAATGACAATGACAATGACAATGACATTGACAATGACAATGACAATGACAATGACAATGACAATGACAATGACAATGACAATGACAATGACAATGACAATGACAATGACATTGACAATGACAATGACAATGACAATGACAATGACAATGACAATGACAATGACAATGACAATGACAATGACTTAGACTACTCTAATTTGAACCTTTTACCAGCTGAGTTTACCTCAAGTTTTCTGGCCAACTTTGAGAGGCCGTCAAAGGGGCTATAAACTTGCTGTACGAGTTGAAAATGATCTAAATATTTATGTAAATGGGAAAACACGTTTGGTTAGCCAATGCCAGCAAGAAGTTGAAAGAGGACTCAAATTTGGCAGCTAAATGTTGGCACTTAGTTACTCAGCTGTGGATCTTGGGGCTGGTAACAGTTTGTTGGGCAGAAGGTGGCAGTGCAGTGCGGTTAGTGCGTGCGGCTTTCGGCCCACTTTGGTGTTAGTTTTGCCTAATGCCCTTCGCCCAGCTCCGTGAAAGTGTGATGCAACATTTTTGGTCTTTCTTTTAGCAGCTGTTAGCCCCTTGGCGCCAATTTTCCATTTCATTTTATGGCCGCAAAGGCGTGGCTGCTGCGTTGGCTTCATTAAAAATTGAATCGCCCGCAGTCAAGACTTTTACTTTGGCCGGCATCTGACATAACGGGCGTTATCCACTTTCCACCATCGAATGAATATGCAAAGCAGGAATCGCCCAGGCGATCCATTGCAACCGCTGCAACTCTCTAATTAATGTGGCTAAAATTAGCTTTTATGCATTTCGAATTTGAGTGGGCCTTAAGTTGGGCTACAAATGGATTCAAGCTTACGCTTGAAGGGTTTTCCAAATGGAATTTGTAAAATGCCCTTGACATGGGTGCGTGCCCAGGTGACCCACACCTGAGCTCTACTCCATTCATTCTTTGATGATGAGAGATGACTTCTTCTTCTTCTTCTTCTCACGAAAGGATCCAAAAGAAATCGCCAGCGACCCATCTACAGGTTTCTGAGCTGCTGATGAAATCCCGTTCCTGCCTGCTGGCCAAATCGTGTTTTCTATTTAACATTCAAACTCGATGTTGTCGTTGCAGACAGTTGCTGATTAGCTCGGCCCTAACCCAGCACAAGCTTAGCCCTTTTCTGCCCATTTAAGTGCCACACACACACACACAGAGAGAGAGAGAGAGAGAGAGAGAGGGAGATACGCACGCACAGCTAACTAAATTTCATATACAGCAGCCACTCAATAAACTTGAGCACGTAAAGTTTTTGCATCAACATAAAAATAAAACTCAAGTCGTTGGCAGCGCACAATTTGCTAAGCTGCGTTTACTTATTTTTTGGTATTTTTACCAACCCCACCCCGCCGCCGACGCTGCC